CATTTACTGTGTAGTCAATGGTTAACAAGAAGTAAAAATGTGACGAGGATTTCAAGTATTGCATTACATTACTGAACAGAATCTGCCAACATCCACCTGCTGTGTTGCCAGCAGGTGGATGTAGGTGTTTGGGTTCATCAGAGGTCCCCAACTAGCCAACAAAAGCCAAGTGGCAGACCCCTGAGAAGGTTAATCATCTGCTAAAGGAGGGCATCCTGACCTTTTTGTTTTGCACATTAACCCATCCAGACACATAATACAAAATGAGCTTAATCATTAAATCGTTAGCACTTAAACTTAGGCTCTCTTAACTCTGTGGGTCATTTTCTTTTCTTTCAAGTGTAGATATTGAAACTGCCTATATCAGCCTGTCCTCTGTACAGAAATGTCAATTCTGTATTTAATCCATTTTCTTTTTTTTGTTCAACATTAAATGAGCTAATCAGAGTTCTTCAAAACAGTTTGTGTAGACTGAATGGTCGACTGTGCCAAGAATTATAATCTCTGTTTACAGTATAAACAGAGCTGAGGAATGAGGGCGGTAGCTTGTTGAGAATGGATTGGTTGTTGATAAATAAGGTAGCTTGCTTTTACCTTGTAAGGCTTCATATGTTTAACAGTTTGTTCCAGTTTGTATTATATTAATTTAGACATTTTTTGTTTGTCAAATTACCCACTGCTTAATTTACAGCTCTTCAACAGAAAACAAAAAATGTTAAATTGAAGTTTGAAGCAAGTGTTGTTGTGTTTTTGTTTGTTTGTTTGTTTTTGTTTTTTTGAGTAATTTTCTTTAACTTGTGCAAAATGTTTGCTGTCTGCATTTAGATCCTCATAGGATGGGTTAAAACTGGAGGCAGTTTATGCAAACACAGAGCACATACAAATCTTATACAAAACAGCCTTGTTGTGGCTAGGTTTCAAAACACTGTTCTTCCTGTGGGGCAACAGTGCCATTGAGCCACTGTGGTGATGATTTAGCTTGCGTTCTTATTAAGTAAATGCATAGCATAGTTGCCAAATAAAACTAAAGGTTAATGAGTAACTAGAGACGCCGTGTGCTAGGAAAATAATTAAGGGGGCAAACAATGAGGAGAGAACATGTAATGACTAAATGCGGTTTGGCAGAAACATAGACCAGCTGTGAAAGCCCATTTTCAGGTGTGTGCGGGGAGCTCGGGTTGGTCTGTCTACTCTGTTGTTGTCTTTATTTTATTTCATTTATTTATTTATTTTTTAAGAAACAGTTTGTTATATCCAGCTGCCACTGTGGCCATCTGTGCCCTGTTCTGCCCATTCACCGCAGCGAGTAATTGGACTTCAGCCTCATTAAATAAACAAGTTGCTGAACTATTTTAGGATGATTACTTGTCCTATGAAAGTCTAATTTTTTTTCAATTTATCTCTGCTCACTGATGCACGAGCAAAATATGGTAATGTCCTACATTGTGATTCTCTTAAATCAAACGCAATGAAAATGAAGTGTGGGGTGGTTTGATGTGTCCATAGTTGAACCACAATGATGGCTCCCCCTTGAATGGGATTTTCAAAAATCCACAGGCTCGATGTTCACAGCATCCGAAACTGTTTGCTATCGTCTTATTGCAGCCCCAAACCTCTTTCCCAATTTGTCTCCAGACATTGTTTGGCTCTTTGTAAAACATAATTGTGTCAACAGCCTCTGGAGATGAGATACCAAACCTTTCAATAAGTGCTTTGCCCAAAAGGTAAATTTGGCAGCTGAGGAGGGAGCCAACGTGCAAACAAAGCAGCAGACAGTAATTTTCCACTGTCTGTTACTATGCATATTAATGAGGTTGATGGATTAATGCCTCACTTTAGTAACAGGCCACTAGGTGAGCACTGGTTAAGTCTGTCGTGCTCCAGCGGTGCCCAGCTTATCGCATCAGAAGTTGTGGACCAGATCAGTTTTCCACGTGAGTGTCTTTGCTGTAAATGGCCCTTTCTCTCTCAGTGGAAAGCAGTTAAAACCCCACAGAAACAGTGTGATCCTGAGATAAATTGTTAAACACAAGCTCTTAAGATTTGTTGCTGATTGCCTGATGATGATGATTAAGCTGCAGGGTAGACATTTAACAGGACTGGAATGGATTTCCTTTGGTTAAGTGTGGGTGAGTGTATGTGTGCGCATACATTTGTAACAGTTGAGATGTTTTCAGGGGAATTGACCTTTTTGTCCCTGCTCGAGTATGTGTGTGCATGCAAGGTGTTTTTGTCCAAAAACTAATCACAGGCCAGATTGGCGTTCTTTTGTTTTTCCTTTTTTTGTAGGGAGGTTGGCATAACTTTGCAAATTTCCTAAAAATCTGATGACAAGATGCCTTAAAGTGAAATAATTATGACCTATGGAAATAAAAATTTCAGACACATATATTTAATTAAAAGGTTTCCCAAGTTGGATAACAGTGACTTTTTCTTTTGTTTTGTTTTTAACCTTGTTTATCTTCTTTGACCATCATTGCAATGAGTTTCAATTATTCCATTCAGCCAGTCTTTTCACTGATGTTGGTGTTATTTAAGGTTGCTTAATGAATCCTGCCACTCTTTGCCCATGTCTTTGATCAGTGTCCAGCCTCCCAGGCTCTTATCTTGGCAAACACAATGGACACGCTACCTGCTTTCATTCTTTTATTCAGAAAAGGGTTGGTTGGCTCGGCTAATGCCTTTTGGTTGTCAGTGTTCTCTCCGCTTTTATATCCAGACTTGTTCTTTAATGATTTTTGCACACAGAGACTTGTGGTTTTGGTAGTCCCACCTCTGAGCTAAATATCACTGTAAAGTGTGTCCTCCCTCTCGCTTATTGCCTCCCTATTGTCCTTTGGTTTTTGTGTGCAGGAGCTTTTTGTGTCAGCCAGGCTGAATTGGCCTGTTTACTGTGATTAAATGGGAGCAGAGGAGGTTGGTAGGCTGAGCCGTATCTGTTTTAGAGTTGAGGAGTGTTGCACTACCTTAGCTCAACACCAATCTCTACTGGGACACACAACACACACAAAAAAACGTGTAAGTATGTTTTAGTTAACGGTTCAGAATATAAAGAAGCCGAATGAGAACCAAAAGCAGGACTCCAGCAGAATGAGCAGTTGAACTGAATTTGTTGTACAGTACCATTGCCAGGATGAGCATGAGGAAGGAAACTGCTTAAGGTGGAGCGAGCAGGAAGGAGAGCGTAGCTGGCCCTTGAGCTTATGAGTGGATGTGGAAGAGGGGGCAGGGCTGGCAGGCTTGGTAGCACAAGAAAAAAACTGAACTAGAAGCTGTCCGTTGTATTTGGAACACATTGGCTAACTGCACAATGTGTGAGATAATCGAGTGAAGAGCCGGAATGTATCCAGCCGGAGGTTGATTAGTGGATCAGTGCAAGAGTGTGCAAGTGGCAGCTGGAGAGAAATCACACAAATGCCGAGCGGGAACAAGCAGGGAAACTGAGGAGAAACATAAGGAAGGGGAAAATCAGCTGCTACTCAATACATTTTTTGATTGTTTGATTAGTTGGAACATAAATGGGTATTTTTTTTTTTTCCTCCAAAACTCATTGGTAATTTTTGCTCTAACTGATGAGTACATTTGCTTTAATAATTGATCAGAAAGTCAAAACACCAGTAGAGAACTAGTACAAAAGCAAGCTAAACCTCCCCCTTGAGTCAGTTTCTTTTTATTGAAAGATGATTTAAATTGGTAATGGACTATAAAATTGGATTCAGTGTCAATTAATTTATTTTTGGGATGTGTAGATTCTCACCATTAATTCATTTAGTTAGTTTATTTAGTCATCACTCATTAGACTGTATCAACAGTCCATGTAGCGCGCAGTGACTAACGGGCTCAGGCAGACACATTGATTATATATGGTTGTTCTCCACTCCTAATTAAGGCTACCCATCAACATTTTTAACACTCAAAACTGGCTTTGGAAATCCTTCTTTGAAAACAAAAAGTCAAACTAAACTTTAAAAAAAAAAAAAAGCTTAATTACAGGCACCGCCTCATTACCACCACCCGAGAACATTTTACTTTCATTACTAAATATAGCCCTTTTTAAAAAAATGTTTAATTGCATTGTTTCTATAACATACTAAATCGTTTCATAATGCGGGGCTTTGAAAACAAGGATCAATGTGATAATGGGTTATTATAGTGTTTTTTTTTTTCTTCTTCTTTTCTTTCTTTTCTTTCTTTTTTTTTTTTAAATATATACCTTTTTTAAAAAAATAAAGTAAAACAAAGCCACCATGTTTCTTTCCCTCTGAAACTGCTCTGCTGTGATGTGAAGTGTTTTTCATTTGCTTAGACAACTTGTTCTCCCAAGTGTGCTGCTGCTCAATATTAATAACCTAGGTTCATACTGTATTAATGGACTGATTACAGAGGAATATGGGTCACGTATAGGATTTCCCAATGAGTAATGTGTAAGTCAAGTTTGTGGTACCATGAGTGGGGTGCGGTAGGTTTACACAAACAATGCGAGTACATCGTGTCATGCATTGCTGGCAGCCCATTAGCCTAATTAGGTGCTGCAAAATGTGGAGAGAAATGGTTGCAAAGATGGGAGAGATAAGCCAGGCCAAAATGGGTTTATAGATGGACTGTAGTAAATAGAAACATTTTTTTTTTTTTTTTTTTTTAAATCATCTGTTATGTTGCATTTTTCTTTAAGAATTTTATGTAACCACGTGTACTCTTTATATGAGCATATGTTTATATTTATGAAATATTTCTATAACTGGTCTGAAGGTCATACCAATACCTGTGTATTTTATAAATTAACTGCCAGCTGCGTGTTGCCTGACTTTGCACTGGCTCTGTACACACAGTTGTGATCTTCCTGAAAATATTGATTTATTGGTCGAGAATATGAAAGGATAGAGACTACAGTGATTTCATACTTTATTGAACCTATTATCATATGAAGAGCTGTTATCAGACTACAGAGAGACTTAAATGGCTCTGATGTGATAATGGATCATATCTCCTCATCTCTGCAGGTATTTGGCGATTATTATCACTTTCGGCATCGCACAGTGGTGAAGAGATCACTGTCGGATCACAGGGGGACGCACGTCCGTCTACTAAACGATCCCAAGGTAAGACATTTGTTTTTGGTGCTAAAGTCATGCACGCAAAGGAAGTCTGTTGGTTTCTAATGTAATGGTGACTGACTAGGTGTGAAGTGTTGAAACTGCTGCTTTATGCTAGAGCGCTCTTTGTGTGATGGATTTTTGCAGTGTTGGGGTTTATTTTTTGGCATTTTGGAAGAACTTTGTAGTGAATCGGGCTTTAGAATTGTGTTTGACCTAGTAAACCGCACTCTCTGGGCTCCTTTTAAAGCTTATAAATCCTACTTTGGATGTAGTTTTTTTTTAAAATTTATTTATTTATTTATTTTCAAATATAAAGCCATCTCTTAAAATCATTTGCTGTGGGTTGTCATCTAAAATGTCAGAAATGGGGGAACATAAACTCTTGCTAAGTTCATAAGAACATAAACAGATAAACAAATGCTTTTAAGACAAACACAAATATTACACTAGTTTTATTTCCATACACAAACCTAAATAATGGCACTGGTATAATGGCAATCTCATGTATATCTCATGCACATATCTTTCTTTCTACATAGCACTTTAATTCTTATTGTTTGCACTGAAGCACCGCAGCAAATTCCTAATGTTGTAAACCTCAACATCTGGCAATAAACCCATTCTGATTCTGATTCTGGTGCTTTTGTTTGTTTGTTTTTTAATAAGATTAGTGCCTTGTGTGGGCTCACCAACCATTTTGTTAGGTACATCTCTTCAACTGCTTGTTCATACAAATACCTAATCAGAAAGTCCAATGGCAACAACTCGGTGCATTTAGTCATGTCGGTACGATCAAGACAAAGGTTAAACTGAGCGTCATAATGAGGGAGAAAATTCATTTAAGTGACTTTTGGATCATTGTTGGTGTCAGTCAGGCCAGTCTGACTATTTCAGAAAGGCTGGGATTTTCCCACACAACCGAAAGAGAATCACATCTGCTGGCGTGAACAAACTGTGCTTTGGTGTCAATTTCGGTTGGTTTTGCACATTGATTTTGTCTAACCTCAGAAACGTTTCCAGCAACCTTGTTGAAACGATGCTATGAAGAATTAAAGCAGTTCCGTAGGCAAACCACTGTGTACCAAATAAAGTAGCTGTTCAGTGTACATGGGCTGGGATAATGGGGAAGAAACGTGTTTAACATATTGAACAATTAGGTTGATAAAACGGATGACAACCCCATTATGTTGTGCAGGCAGATTTTCTTGCATTTTATTACCATATGTTCAATATTAAAGTCATTCTGTTTTTATTGTTTGGCATTGTAATAATAATCTAACTTAAAAAAAATGTAAGAGATCTTTATTCTGGTTCTGGTTTGTCAGTCCAAACAATTTCCTCTCCCCCCCCCTTTTTTTTTTTTTTTTTTTCCTCCCTCATTTACTCAAGGGCTTGGAAGGTGAACATGCACTTCTCTATCGACCTGATTCTTCCTCCTCCTTAACTGATGTAATTTGTAAATTCACATGTCTGTGTTTTCTTGCTTTTTTTGTAGGAGTTTGAGGTTAGTGTGAAAATGAGTCAGTGTCCTACCCCCCACTGGAAGGGACAAAGGGAAGGGTGTGAAATTAGCATTCATGGCTTTGGGAAAGCAAGTGAGAAAGAGAATGTTTGAAGGATTGTTTTTAATGCTTCTAAATAAAAGAAAATCGTTCATTTTGAAAATAGACACTTAAAACTAGAGATGGACCAATCCAATATTACGTATCAGTCCGATACTGACCTAAATTACTGGATCGGATATCGGAGAGAAATAAAAAATGTAATCTGATCCGAAGTATCACAAAATCACCTCACAAAACACGTTACTTGGCGTATCCCAGATCGGTGCATTGGAGCAGTAAGTGTCACGTGATAGAGCGGCTGTTGGCGGTCTGTTGGAGCATTTGGAGCCTCGCTACATGCTTCCTAACCGCGGCAATTCATCTTGGCGAAAACGGTCCCAGAGAAGTAAAGCAAGTGTGTAAGTTCATCCCTGAATGTTTGCATAGTATTTCCACGTTAAGCTTAACAACTGATATATTGAGCCACAGCTAGACTGGCCATTGGAGTTCCATATTGAGGTGAAAAGGAAGCGATTTGTCCCGTACTTCAGCTAGAATTAAGACACAAAGCTGGAGTTATTCTGTCTTTGCTGTGCAGTTGCATCTACTTCTCTCATTCACTCCTCCTTCCTCTCCTGTTATTACTTCAAACATGAAACTGATCAATGATCAGCTGATCGGCTCTTCTGCCGCAAGTCCCGTCTCTTGTTTGTTTATCACAAACAAGAGACGTTTATCACCCATTTTGCACCAGAAAGAGTAGAACAGCGTATAAACAACAGCAGCATGTTTAAGCTTGATAAGCTGTTAGAATGTATTTAATATTACTTTCTAGTATCAGCTGATGTTTGCTGGAGCCACAGCTGTAAAAGCTGCTGGTCATGACATCGGTTTGGATATGAGAGGGAAACATGAAGATGAAACCAGGAGATGTCCTTACTGAATCATCAGAGCTGAACAGGTGATGGAGAAACAGGTTTACCTTTTAGGTGACATGAATGAGTTGAAGGGAAGTTATGAACTGCTTCTGAGAGACAAATAACAGCAGGATCCTTTTCTACATAGCTGACGGCTGGTAACTGTGCAGGGGCGGGTCTAGCAAAGTTTTGTCGGGGACCAGTTTGGGCATTAACAGAGAAAGGGGGGCACAAATAAATATTTTTCTTTATGTCATTTAAAAACTTAATAAATAAATAATTATCTGAATCTTACAACAAAAGTGGCCAACTGATTAAATGTATAGAAATCCATTATTGTTTACAATATTTCTGGAACCGCTGGCCTTGGCTATCCGAGCAAACAGGGGTGTCAGAGGTGTTCATGCAGGGGGTATGGAACACAAGTTGTTTCTATATGCTGATGACATCTTAGCAGTATTGACGGATCCCATGCAGTCTCTACCAGCACTACTCACGTGTGTTGAGTCATTTTCAGGGTTGTCAGGTTATAAGATAAACTGGGACAAGTCGGAGGGCATGCCATTGTCAGCATCATGTCATTCTGGATGCGTTACTCCATTCAATTTTAAGTACTCACCTTCAGGTATGAAGTATTTAGGAATATTATTAAAACCCGACTTGGAGGATATTATGCTTTCAAATGTGGAACCTCTCCTCCTAAAGATAAAAACAAATCTGGATAAATGGGGTAAATTGAATCTTACACTATGGGGTAAAATTAATGTGATTAAAATGATGGTGGTCCCACAGTTCAATTATGTTTCCATGATGTTACCTGTACGAATTCCTTTGCACATATTTAGTCAATTTGAGAAGTTATTCAAAGATTTTTTGTGGAATAACAAAAAGCCGAGAGTGAATATAAAGAAAATGTGGGCCTCTAAAGACATTGGGGGAATGGCCCTCCCAAATGTGAAGTTGTATAATTTAGCTTTTGGATTGTCAAGACTGGCCAAATACTGGACAGGATCGGGCTCTGAGCTGAGCTGGATGAAGATCGAACAGGAACTAGCGAGCCCTTTCACACCTTTGGATGTTTTCTCACAGGGCGCGGCAACTAATGGACAAGACTCTCATGATAACCCAGTGCTCAGGTATTCCAAAGCTGTCTGGGTAGAGGTGCACAAGTTGTGTGGAGCATCTCATCTAAGACAACCTTATGCCTCGCTATGGAACAATATTGCTGTACGGATTGGGCGGAAAACTGTGTTCTGGAAGGAATGGCTTGTCAAAGGCATACGCAGGATAAGTGATCTTTAATCAGGGGAGTGTTTATGTCATTTGCTGAAATAACCCGAAAATACGGTTTGATAAGAGAAAATAATTTTTGGAAATATTTACAAATAAGGGATTGTGTTACCAAAGGAAAATTTGCTCAAAGCTCGAATATGGTGGTGGAGTTTTTAGAATTGTCCAGTACAGCACATAGGGCGGCTGTTTTCTACAAACTGTTTAACAATCCAAAAAAAGAGATATGTGAAAACTTGAGGATTATATGGCAGAGGGATCTGGGTTGTGCAATTTCTAAAGAAGACTGGCGCAGAATTTTGTCATTCTCTGATAAGTATATAAGGGAGGCCAGGGGTAAATTTACTCAGTATAAATTAATACACAGGTGGTACTTCGCTCCATCCAAACTTTATAGAATGGGAATTAGTCCCAGTAATGTATGCTGGAAATGTAGTTCAGATCCAGGGACATTTATACATGCTATTTGGGAATGTGGGAAAGTTTATCCCTTTTGGCAAAAAGTGTTGGACAAAATAGGAAGGTGGATTGGTTTGATGATACCCCTGTCACCAAGACTGTGCTTATTAGGGGATCGGTCGGTGTTACCTGGGGCTTCAAAATATGACTTTGTGGTTATAAAGGTGGGGGTGATCGCAGCGGCTCGAGTTATTCTGAGTGTATGGAAGGAACCATCTCCTCCAGAATATAATAGGTGGAAAGAAACTATGCTGAAAATGGTGTCGTATGAAAAACTCTTGGCTAGGATTAATGATGATAGGGAGGGTTTTGACAAATCGTGGGGACGTGTTTTTGGCTGAGATGGTTGGAACTTATTTGGTCAGGGCAATTATCTTTAGTTATGTTGTACGCTTGCTGCACTGTTTGTGTAGGCACTCAGTAAGGGAATGACTTAAAGATTTGAGTTAACTGTCCTTTTTTTTTTTTTTTGTTTTTATTTTTTTACGGGTGTACTGTTAGTTAACAGGTATTGAAAATGGACCCGAAGTATAAAGGTGGATTAACTATGGGATTGAAAGCTGTCTTTTCTTTTCTTTATTGTTTTTTTTTTTTTTTCCTTCCTGTTGTTGTTTTGTTGGTTGTTTTGTTTGTTTTTTCGTGTTGTGAAATGTTAAAAACAAATAAAGACTTCGATTACAAGAAATCCATTATTGTATATAGTAACTAATAAGTCTAATATACACCCTAGTAAGCTATAGTACTTTTTCCTGAGATGTTGAATCTATTTAAATATTGTAGAAAAATAATTGAT